AAACCCCCCGCCGTTAAATCGGTTTCGGCGGCGGCGAGGGATACGGTCTTGTTTCCACCTACCTCGAAACTAGCGGATCGGTCATTGACGCTGTTCACAGCTCGGTCGGTCGCGCGTGACGTTTCGGCGGCGGATTTCTCGAAGACGAATGACGGAGTTCCGGTGGGTGCGGCGACGAGGAAGAAGAAAGGGCTCGTGAAGGATCCGCGCGCGCTGTGGAGTCGGTACCTGGACTGGCTGTACCAGCACAAGGAGCTCGGGCTGTACCTAGATGTGAGTCGGGTCGGATTCACCGACGAGTTCGTGGCGGAGATGGAGCCGCGGTTCCAGGCCGCGTTCAAGGCCATGGATGAGCTCGAGAAGGGTGCGATTGCGAATCCTGATGAAGGCAGGATGGTCGGACACTACTGGCTCAGGAACTCAAAGCTCGCACCGAAGCCGACGTTGAAGACCCAGATCGATAACACGCTCGATGCTATTTGCAGCTTTGCCGATGATATAATCAGTGGCAAGGTCAGTGTTCGAACCATTTTGATTCAGGTGTTGATCAATTGGGGTTAATGGGTTGCTCTGAATTTGGAATCTCCATTTCTGAAATCCAAAATGAATCTCCATTTCGTATTTACTTGTCTAGTTTTGTTTGTCTTGCAGATTAAGCCACCGTCTTCACCAGTAGGTCGGTTTACTCAGATACTTTCTGTCGGAATTGGAGGTTCGGCTCTTGGACCTCAGTTTGTCGCGGAGGCATTGGCTCCTGATAATCCTCCATTGAAGGTATCTGTCGCCTTCGTCTCTGTTTCTCATGTCCATGACAATGTTACTTTGCAAATCTGTAATTCATTTCTTGATAAAGACTCGTGATTTATGAAGAACGGAAAGGGTCTATGTATCATTTGTTACTTTGGTTTAAGATTCGTGATCAATAAAGAATTGAAGAGATTCCATGTACGATCAGCTTTCTGCTAGTCTTGAGATTCTGTCAAGAATCTTGATTTAGAATATTGACTTATGTCTACTTCTTTGTGTCATGTCTTTTGGTGACTGTCCCTTTTCGCTGCATGAAAATGATCTTCTGGCTTAAATTTTCTTAGAGGACGTTCGTTGTCTACTTCTGTGTGTCCTGTGTTGGATGCTTTTTGCTCTATCTTTTGCTGCTAAGTTTTCATTTTGTGATGGGAATTCGGCTTATTTTTTGGTGACGTCGACAGATAAGATTCATTGACAACACAGACCCGGCTGGAATCGATCACCAGATCGCGCAGCTTGGGCCGGAGCTTGCATCTACGTTAGTGATCGTCATTTCGAAGGTATGTCGTTATTATATTACGTATCTTTTGTTGGCATGTCTCTGTAACAGACACATCTTGCTACCACCAACCATCCACCACAAAGCTTCTGACTTGCTTCCATGTTTATTCCCAGAGTGGAGGCACTCCTGAAACGAGAAACGGGCTGTTGGAAGTACAGAAAGCATTCCGTGATGCTGGCCTGACCTTTGCAAAACAGGTCTTGATCTCAGGTTTTCGTTTCTGCTGTTTCAATCGAATTTCCCATCTCTGCCGGGGAAATAATTGACTTCTAGTATATCTTTTTTTGGGATTTGCATTGGCCATCTTCAGATGTGTTGCTTTCGATATAGATTCAATATTTATTCTGATTGTACTGCTGCCTTTCTGCTGCAAGTCTGGTGAATATCTGCTTGTTTTACAGGGCGTCGCGATAACACAAGAAAACTCGTTGCTGGAAAACACCGCTAGAATCGAAGGTTGGTTAGCTAGGTTTCCAATGTTCGACTGGGTGGGTGGTAGAACATCAGAGATGTCCGCAGTTGGTCTGCTTCCAGCAGCCCTACAGGTATTTGGTTCATAAGCTTAGGTTGTAATAAACTCGCCGTTCACTTATTAACACACTCTCATGGTGTAGGGTATCGACATTAGAGAGATGCTTGCTGGCGCTGCATTAATGGATGAGGCAACTAGGGCGACCACGGTGAGTGCTGTCTCAGTAGCGAGCTTTGTTTTTTTTTTCAGTCACATTCAATGATGCAATCGTGTGTTATGTTCGTAAAAGGGTATTTCCAGAAGATTAGTGATATGAGTATTTTCTCGAGACTGATGTAACTACGAGCTACTCAACTGTGTTTTCATTTTATCGGAAGGAAGTATATCTAGAACTCAATATTTCCCGATTTTTTTTTTGTTCATTTCAGCTCAAGAATAATCCTTCAGCACTCTTAGCTATGTGCTGGTACTGGGCTTCCGATGGCATTGGCTCGAAGGTAAACCTTTTCACCTTCGATCTTCGACGTTTTCTTAAATCATCGAGCAGATTGAATTCTGATTTACATTTGTAACAAAAGTACGATACACATTTATTTCCGTTTGTCCCCTTGCGTCTTGCAGGATATGGTCATTCTTCCTTACAAAGACAGCTTATTACTATTTAGTCGGTATCTCCAGCAGCTGGTCATGGAATCACTAGGAAAGGAGTTTGACCTCGACGGTAACAGGGTTAGCATTATCTTTCTTCGGTTGTACCGTAGTATCCGATGTGTTATGAGTTGGATCCCAAGGACGATTATTCGATTCTGCAGGTTAATCAAGGGTTAACCGTGTACGGAAACAAAGGGAGCACAGATCAGCACGCGTGAGTTTTCCCGCCTTTTCGTGACTAGGGCTTATCGGGCTTTTCAACGCTTAGAGCCTATGGTTATTTTCTTTCAAAACTTTTGTAGCTATATTCAACAGCTGAGAGAGGGTGTGCACAATTTCTTTGCAACCTTCATCGAGGTGTTACGCGATAGACCCCCGGGTCATGATTGGGATCTCGAGCCCGGCGTCACTTGCGGGGACTACCTGTTTGGGATGTTGCAGGTCAGATTCGATAATCTCTTGAACTGCATTTAACTTTTTGGAACGAGTCTCGAATATCGTTCACAGATCCCCGGACTCCTCAAGTGCGGGAAAACGCCTTGATAGATCTCTAGGGTCTATCACCACTCTCCGCTCAGTGTCTCGGAATTTTCCTCGTTTTCTTTGACCCCGTAATGTTTTTGGTTGCATTTTCGTGCAGGGAACGAGATCTGCTCTATATGGGAATGACAGAGAATCCATCTCCGTGACTATTCAGGAGGTGAACCCAAGATCTGTGGGAGCTCTTGTAGCTCTGTACGAGAGAGCGGTCGGGTTGTACGCCTCACTTGTCCACATCAATGCTTACCACCAGCCTGGTAGATAGTAGAGATTACACATTACATTCTCTTACACGAGAGAGCGGTCGGGTTCGTGCTTACGGGTAAATAGGGTATCTGAATGAAATGGTGTGGTGATGTCAGGGGTGGAAGCTGGGAAGAAGGCAGCAGCAGAAGTTCTGGCCTTACAGAAGCGTGTATTGGCAGTTCTTAACGAAGCCAGGTAAGAGAATCAGCTCTTTTTTCTCGCCAGCCGGGGGATACCCAAAAGGGTTTTCGGGATCGGATACCCGACCCGTGTCCATCCTTGTTTTAAACTCGCTAGGGTTCATTGGTTTTTTGACTGACAGTTAGATTTACTTTCCGTTTTCATCGGCAGCTGTAAAGAACCGGTGGAGCCATTGACACTGGACGAGGTAGCCGATCGTTGCCACTCTCCGGGAGAAGTAAGTGTCCGGAAACCACCCACACTTGCTTCATAAGTCCGCAGTCGTATGTTTCTGATGAACCACATTCTCCGTTTCCTTACAGATCGAGATGATATACAAGATCATCGCTCATATGGCGGCGAACGACAGGGTTCTGATCGCTGAAGGAAACTGCGGATCTCCTCGCAGCGTCAAAGTATACCTCGGCGAATGCAACCTCGATCAACTCGACTCTTGAATCTTCTCTGGATCATTCTCTCTTCACTCTCGATTTACTGTGAAGGGTAAAAAGGACCATGGAATAAAATCTCAAACGGGTGTTTTGGGGGAAAAAAAGAAATAGAGATGGAGAGAAACCCTATACCCTAACGTCTCTTTTTTTTTCAATCTTTTGTAAATGGCTTTTCAAATAAGCATTTTCTTCCTTTCAAGTGTTTTAATTAATCCTCTGTATTAATTTTCATGTCCGAGGCGAAAAGCCTGTTTTCACCGTTGAAGTAAAAATTATAACCCCGTTAGAAGTCCATTTCCGTTCAAACAAATAAAAAGTTCTATTTTTTTTTTGGGTAGAAAAATATTATTAGGTTTTTATTGCGCAGAAGGAGAAGGCTTTTTTTTATATTATAATTTCATGAAAACCATTCTCATTGTTATTTATTATATGCGAACACTCGAGAGAACAAAAACTTTCCATAATTTTCCGATAATTAGGTTTGACAATTTAGATAAATTTGGAGAAACTCTTTAAAAATAAAGAAAATATATTTAACAAAAAAATAAAGAAAATATTGATCAGTTGACTACTCCCTTTTTTTCTACATACATGTCATTTTGGAAATTATTAAATATATATCGTTTTATATTTTTTAGAATTTTACCTTTTTTGAAAAATATCTTTTTTTAATAGGTCATTAATAAAAATATATATCTTTTTTATATTTGTGTAAAATTTGTGATAAACCGACAAATATTTTAAAACTTGGAAAGTAATGAATAGCCGCAAAAGTTCGAGTCACGAGGGAAAAAAAACAGAAAAAGGACAAAAAAAACTTCGTGTCCCCACCTTACAACGTTCGTTTGCAATTTCAAAATAAAAACACGGCAGCTCCTGTTGGCCACGTCAGCACCCTCCCGTTACGGATAACAACCCACTCGGTCACACGCCCATTACGTTCGCCCACTTTATACAAGGCGTTTTGTATCACTATTCTCCCCACTTAACCCATTATTAATATTAATCACAATTAATTAAATCAAATTACACTCTTCCCCATACATCTAAACGGCATCGTTCTCATGCGTTATCTGCTTGAAACGACATCGTTTTAAGAGCTAAACCACATTTTCAGAACGTTGTAATTTGAATTCCTATAATTCCAAAAGTTTTCAAAATTAATAAAATGCCTAAGAAAATAAAAAGAGAATAAAAAAGGGGAAAATCACACTTAATTGCAGATTTGGATCTCTCTCTCTCTCTCTCAGGAAACTGCAAGAAAGGACGAAGCTTTCTTGCTAAGCCTTCTTCTTCTTCTTCTTCTTCTTCTTCTTCTTCTTCATTATCAACGTCACCATCTTCTTCTCTGTAAATCTCACCACGATCTCTAAGATCTCTCTGATTTTCTGGCGAGAGATTTTCCAGGAAAATTCATTTGCTTTAAATAGCAACTTCAGTCTTCATCAACTGTGCTCCATTTTTCACCTCTTCAGTTCGATTTCTACGGAATTCCAGAAATCACCCACCATGTTCGCGAATCCGAGAACCGGAAACCGGAGCGGATTAGGTTTACCGACTCCAAAGTTCCGGAGTGGCCACTTACCCTCCTCCGCAGCCATCCCTGTCTCCAGAACCCTAGCGACCGAATCCGACGCCAGTGCATCTGCTTCCGACAATGACATGAGTACAGACTCCGAGGATGTCTATGGCGGTGGGCATTCCCTTGATTCGTCTCCTCAGGAGAGTAGAGTGTCTAATGGAGTCGCTCACAGATACGGTAGAAACTCGTCTTATTACACGTATTCTGATGTTAGCTCTTCGAGGGAGACTTTTGTCGGTGTGACTGGTCGGAGATTGGATCGATTGGATGGTTATACGGAGGAAGAATCTTCAGATTCCGCTACTAGTTCGCAGTTTTCTCCGCCGGAGACGTCGGTGGCGGCCGGGAAAATAAACGGGCGTGCGAATTTCGTTGGCAACCCGGCGAATGACAGAGCATCTGCCGAGAAGGTTGTTCCTTTTACATCACCATTTAGTTTTTTATTTCGTATTCTGTTTGAAGAGAGACCGTTGTAGCGGATTAAGGACAGTATATTGTTTGGTATTTGAGTTTTGTTCATGGATGATGATTTTACATGCATCAGGGTTCTTTCTTGTTTAGAGAGTGTCTATGTATATATGATGGTGCTGATTCTTAGTCTTGTCTCTGCAACATGTCTATTACCTTTTGTTCATCCAAAAAAAATGTGTCCTTTACCTTCCTTGTACAATGGTGAAGCAACTGGGATGTTTGAGAATTGTGTATTGTTATGCTCATTGAACTTCTACTTAATCGTATTGCAGGAGTGCAGTGAGAAGTTTTCTTCCGAAGAAGATAACGATATTCCAAGTGCGCCTCCGATTTCGCAGACCACAGAGGAAATTAAACCAGCAACCTCAAGCATTCCAGTTTCAGAAGTCAAAACAGGAGATGAAATAGAAAGTCGAAAGATTGGACACCTTACTAGGTATTCTCTTTTCAATCCTTGTCTTAAATAAACCAAATTGGTAATTCAATGTGTCTTCAGGATTCTCTGTTTTCTCAACCATTTAACATTTTGTTTCTGCTCTGATAGGCCAAGTGCTGCTTCTGAGGCATCTGGGCCTCCGGATCAACACCCAGCTCGGCTCCCAACATTTCACGCAAGGTATTATTGGCTGATCCAGCATGTAGAATGCTTCAGACATAGTAACAAAAAAGAAAAAAGAAACAAAATCTGCCATTTTAGGGAAAAAGATAATTTCCGATTAATAACTTTGGTGCCTTTGTACCTGATTCAGTGCTCTTGGGCCGTGGCATGCTGTGATTTCCTATGATGCATGTGTTCGGCTTTGTCTTCATGCTTGGGCGAAGGGTTGCATGGAGGCTCCCATGTTTTTGGACAATGAATGTTGTCTTCTACGTGAAGCATTTGGGTTAGTTTATTATTGTTCCTGTCTTGGTCTCTTTTGTGCCTCTGATGTCAGAATGTTGCTGCGTTAAGTAAATATGCTAGAATTCTCTAAAAGTAATAAGTCTTAATCTCAAATGCTCTATGAATAACAGGTTGCAGCAAGTCCTTTTGCAATCGGAGGAAGAGCTACTTGTAAAGCGGTCTTCAGAAGTTGCTAATGAGGGAGTTGCACCGAAACCCAAGAAAAACATTGGCAAGATGAAGGTGCAAGGTAAGTTGTATGTATATGTTATGTTCACTCCGAATGAATCACTCCCTTGTCTAGGTGGCCAATATAACCAATTATCCTGAAAGAAACTTATTTGATTTTGCAGTACGACGTGTTAAAACCGTATTGGATGCACCTACTGGCTGTAGTATGTCATCTCTTAACCCATCATTGATAAAGCTTGAGAAAATCCGGATTAGCTTCTCCAGTCTACAGACAAGGCTATGTTCCGGATGGCGTGCACTAAAGAAGATCCGTGTGCGTGTACCTGCCAATGGTTCTTCTCTTTCACGTCAGAGCTTGGCATATGTGCATGCCAGTACACAGTACTTAAAACAAGTTTCTGGCCTCCTGAAAATTGGCGTGACAAGCTTACGTAATAATTCAACCTCTTATGATGTTGTGCAAGGTATAACAAAGTTACAAACTACTTTTCTGTCTGGGTAGCACTGAACATTCTTGACCAGTATTGGATATAATAAATGATATTATGAGTAATTTTCCAAGGATGTTGGTCAGTTTCAGTGCTTGCTTTTGGTATATCTCCTTTCGACATATAATCGAAGTTAGGAACAGATATGATTTTCTATGTTCTGTCAGTTTTCAACTGTCTGCTTTACACATTTTTTCCTTATGATATTGATTAATCCTTTTTTTTTTGAATCAGAAATATACTCCTGTAGGTTAAGACTGAAGAGCTCAACTGAAGACGATGCTGTAATGATGCAACCAGGATCTGGTGAAAGTCATGTGTTGTATGTTCTCAGCCTTGGTTTTTCTTTCTCCTCTCTTCCTTTCGGATCGTTTATAATCTGAGGTGCCTTCGAAATTAACGGGAATTTCTACAGCTTTCCTGACAGTGTTGGAGATGATCTAATTGTCGAAATCCTTGATTCGAAGGGGAAGCATTTCGGGCGTGTGCTTGTCCAACTAGCTAATGTTTCTGAAGACTCGGTAAGATTCTTATTTATCTTCTAATTTGAGTAAATGGCTTAGTCATGATGTTGTTTTCAAAAGCTTGTAACAAGGGAATGATACAGGCTGAGAAAGTTCGATGGTGGTCGGTTTTCCGTGAGCCAGAACATCAACCCGTGGGCAAACTCCAGCTCTACATAAACTATTCAGCAAGCTTCGATGATAACAGCCATTTGAAGGTGGGTAAACTAGCTATAGCACATATTTGGTAACTTACCTTAAATTCTGTGTTTTGGTGCGCTTTCTGTATGTGAAGTCATGGTGGTATTTCTTTGTGGTACTTTGAGACACTCCAGAGGGCACTTTTCGTCGAGCATCTCTTAAATATCTCTTACAATAAAAAAAAACTCTTTCCAGGTGGTTTTTACTTC